ATAAACTACCAAAACTGAAAGGAAGAAAGAGAAAATGTGAACATGCCTATAACCACCAAAGAAATTGAGTCAGTAATCAGAAAACTCCCAACAAACAAAAGTCCAGGGCCAAATGGCTTCACAGGCGAATTCTACCAAACATCTAAAGAAGAGTTAATACCTATTCTTCTCAAACTATTCCAGAAAAATAGAAAATGAAGGAAAATTTCCAAACTCATTCTATGAGGCCAGCCTTACCCTGATACCAAAACCAGATAAAGACTCCACTAAAAAGGAGAACTACAGACCCATGTCCCTGATGAGCATGGATGCAAACATGGGTGGAGAGATGGGGTAATTGGGTGATGGGCATTAATGAGGGCGCTGATGTAATGAGCACTGGGTTAGTTATATGCAACTGACGAATCACTAAATTCTACCCCTGAAACTAATATTACAGTATATGTTACCTAAATTGATTTTAAGTAAGTTTTTTTAAAAGAGGGGCTTCAGGATAAAAAAAAATTTCAATAAAATACTAGCAAACCAAATCCAACAGTATATTAAAAGAATCATTCGCCATGATCAAGTGGGATTTATTCCTGGGTTGCAAGGGTGGTTCAATGTTCACAAATCTACCAGCGTGATACACCACATTAACAAAAGAGATCCTCTCGATAGATGCAGAAAAAGCATTTGACAAAATACAACACCCATTCATGGTAAAAACCCTCAACAGGGTAGGGTTAGAGGGAACACACCTCAACATAAGAAAGGCCATATATGAAAAACCCACAGGTAATATCATCCTGAATGGGGAAAAACTGAGAGCTTTTTCATCTATGGTCAGGAACAAGACAGGGATGTCCACCACTGTTATTTAACATAGTACTGGAAGTCCTAGCCACAGCAATCAGACAACAAAAAGAAATATAAGGTATCCAAATCAGCAAGGAACAAGTCAAGCCTTCACTATTTGCAGATGACATGACACTCTACGTGGAAAAATCTGAAAGACTCCACTAAAAAACTGCTAGACCTGATACATGAATTCAGTAAAGTCACAGGATACAAAATCAACATATAGAAATCCATTGCATTTCTATACATCAACAGTGAAGCAGCAGAAACAGAAGTTAAGGAATCAGTCTCATTTACAATTGCACCAAAAACCAGTAAGTTACCTAGCAATAAACATAACCAAAGAGGTAAAAGACCTGTATCTGAAAACTATAAAACACTGGTGAAAGAAACTGAAGGACACAAAGAAATGGAAAAGCATTCCATGCTCATGGATTGGAAGAACAAATGTTGCTAAAATGGTTAGATTACCTAAAGCAATCTACACATTTATTGCAATCCCTTTCAAAATACCACCAGCATTTTTCACAGAGCTAGAACAAATAATCCTAAAATTTGTATGGAACTACAAAAAACCCTGAATAGCCAAAGCAATTTTGAAAAAGACAAGCAAAGCTGGAGGCATCATCATTCCAGACTTCAAACTATATTACAAACTGTAATCATCAAGACAGTATGGTATTGGCACACAAATAGAAACACAGATCAATGGAACAGAATAGAACACCCAGAAATGAACCCACAACTACCTGGTGAAAAATCTTCAGTAAAGTAGGAAAGAATATCTAACAGAAAAAAAAGACAGTCTCTTCAACAAATGGTGCTGGGAAAACTGGACAGCCAAATGCAAAAGAATGAAACTGGACCATTTTCTTACACCATAAACAAAAACAATTTCAAAATAGATGAAATACTTAAATGTGACAGGAAACCATCAAAATCCTAGAGGTGAACACAGGCACTAACCTCTTGGACATCAGCCATAACAATTCTTACTAGATATGTTTCCTGAGGTATGGGAAACAAAAGGAAACATGAACTATTGGGACTTTATCAAGATAAAATTTTCTGCATACAGAAGCAATCAATCAACAAAACTAAAAGACTACCTGTGGAATGGGAGGAGATACTTCACATGGCATATCTGATAAAGTGTTAGTTTCCAAAATCTATAAAGAACTTATAAAACTCAAGTCCCCAGAAAGAAATAACCCAGGTAAAAAATGTGTGAAGGCATGAATAGACATTTTTTCCAAAGAAGACATCCAAATGGCCAACACACATGAAAAGATGCTCAACATCATTCATCATCAGGGAAATACAAATCAAAACTACAGTGAGATATCACCTCATACCTGTCAGAATGGCTAAAATGAACAAAACAGAAAGAAACAGGTGTTGGTTAGGATGCAGAGAATGGGGCACTCTTTTACACTGTTAGTGGGAATGCAAACTGGTGATGACTTATTTATTTAGTTTCCAGTTTTTATTTAAATTCTAGTTGGTTAACATATAGTGTAAGATTGGTTTCAGGAATAGAATTTAGTTATTCATCACTTACATGTTAACACCCAGTGCACATCATAATAAGTGTCCTCCTTAATACCCATCATCCATTTAAGAAGGGCACTTGTTGTGATGAGCACTGGGTGTTACATGTAACTGATGAATCACTGACTTTTTAGATACAATACCAAAAGCACAATCCATGAAAAAAATTGATAAGTTAGATTTCATTTAAAAAAATAACAACAAAAACAAAACTTCTGATCTGTGAAAGACAATGTTAAGAGAATAAGAAAACAAGACACAGGCTGGAAGAAAATATTTGTAGAACATATATCTGATAAATAACTGTTATTCAAAATATATAAGGAACACTTAAAACTTGACAGTTAGAAAACAAATAACCCAATTATAATATGGGCAAATTATCAGAACAGACACCTTAACAAAGAAGTCATAAAGATGGGCACATAAGCATCTGAAAAGATGTTCTACATATATGTCATCAGGGAATATAGATTAAAACAATGATATACCATTACACACCTATGAGAATGGCTAAAATCTAAAACACTGAAAACAACAAATGACGTCAGGGATGTAAATCAATGGAAACTCTGACTCACTGCTGCTGGGAATGCAAAACACTATAGCCACTTTGAAGATGGTTTGACAGTTTCTTACAAAGTTTAGTCTTACCATATGATCCAGAAATCATGCTTCTAGGTATTTGCCCAAATTTATGAAAATTTATGCTCCCACAAAAGTTATGCAGTCCCAACAGGTGCTAAGTTGTTTGGATACAAGCAATTAATATAGAAATTGTTTTGCTTTTCTTGTGGTTTAGGATCATTATCAGAAAATTACTGAGACCCTATAGGCACCATTAACTTCTGTCTGAACTCTTAACAAAAAACTATAAATACTTACCACAAGAAAGCAAACATAGCTATATTATTAACAGGCAAAATAAACATTAAGGCACAAAAACATTCCTAGAGAGGAAGAGTATACTTTTACAGAAATAAAGGCCCTGTTTATCAGATATAAATAACAAGTACAAATTTGCATAGGTTTAATAACACAGTTTCCAAATATATAAACCAATCTGGCAAAACTCCCAGGAAAAACAGAGAAATCTGTAACCACAGTGGTAGAATTTAATAAACATCTCTTAATAACAGAATAGACAGAACTTCAATTAAAGAAGAATTGAACAACACATTCAATCTAATAGATGTATACAAATGACATGGTTGATTAAACACTCATAAACCTACAAAGTTTTACTTCTTGCTTTAATTAAAAATAAACCAATGACATTGAAAATTATCATACTTACTACTTAGTGTTTTCATTTTGACAGGTCTAAGTTTCTTAGTTTGAGATTAGCTTTTTGACAGTACAACTTTATCCTTGGGTAAAAGAATTTCATCTAACACACCTTCTGCTTTGTGAGCTATAAGAAGAATGCTTTTAACCCATTAAATAGACAATTGTATTTATTGAAAAATTTTGTAATTCAAATACATTTTATAGTTTCTTTCTTACAAAGGTTGCACCTGTTTTTTGGGGGGGATGCAAATTCATATCTATTATAATTTCATTGTGAATTGTAGTTGATAGCATTAAAAGTATTTTTTGTTATCAAAAAAATACATTTCAATTATCCAGGAATATTTCCTCTCATATTTTGAAGCTACATAATCAAATACCACATTGTTGAAATAGTGATGTATACACATTGTTGAGATAGTTAATATAGAGTTAGTGTGAAGTATAGAAATAATGGAAGTACTTTTCAGGAGAATAGTTTGATAAGGTATTTACAATTTAGGATTGAATTCAATATTTTTATAATAGATATGGGTGAGGGAAAAAAGAATGATAAAAAATGCATTTGAAATAAATTTAAAAGAATATTAAAAACAGATCAGGTAAGAAAGACAAAGTACAAATGATGGGATATTTACCTCAAAAATATCAGTACTTCCATTAAATGTAAATGTATTAAATGCTCCATTTAAAATACAAAGATTGTTACATTGGATTAAAAAATAATAAATCACAATGCCTTTTATTTTAAACTGACACAACAAATTCATAGCAAGATGTAAAGATTGAAAGCAGAATGATGAAAAAATATTTTATGCAAATAATTACATACACTATGTTAATATCAGATAAAATAGACTAAAAGCACAAAAATTTTCTACAAAATGTCCATCACAAAGAGAAACTTCAGTTCACTAAGAATATATGACATTTTCAAATCTGTGTATTTATTATATGTATTATATATAGTAAAAATGCTTTAGAAACATAAAACAAAAATTAGCAGACCTACAAAGAGTGATAGAGAAATAAACAATCACAGTAGTTGAATTTAATATAATTTCTTCATAAATGATAAACATAGAACTTCAATGAAATTAAGAAGGCATGAACAACATAATCAACTTGACTAAATGGAGAACATACACACACATGTTATGTATGTTATGTATATATACATAGGCATTTATGTACCTGTACATATATGTATATGTGATACAGTATATAGTATTCATTTATATGATTGAATATATGTTAATGAACTAAAGAGAGAAATTTAATTAAATACCCTTCACAATATTTTTAATAATTATACTTACTACTAAATCCTGCTTTGCTGGCAGCTCCAAGTGTCTTAATTTGAGATGAGCCTTTTGAGATTAAAATTTCATTATCTTCAGGTGAAAGGTTTTCACCTGCTTTCTCATCCATTTTCTCAGCTACAGAAATAGAGGTTTTAATTCAATAAAAAGTAAAACTGAAGTCTATTATTAATAAAGAATCACTTAAAGCTTCCTTTCAGTTTTACAAAATTTAAGCACATAAACAATTTAAGCAAATGATCAAACACCTCCCCCCCCACCAAAAAAAAAAAGAAAGAAAAAATCCTCTGATGCATTTTCAAAACAGACTATAAAATTAAATGTAAAAATCATCACAATGCTTTCCTTAAAGTGTGTGAGGTCATTCTTGTTACTTTATACATATACTTAGAAAGTTGTAATTAGACTTTATTGTATGAAGGGCATTCACAATTTTTAAATACTTAAAATTTTATAACATACATGACTGATTTAAAAGTTAGACTGATTAGGGGAGTCTGGATAGCTCAGTTTGTTAAGTGTCTGACTCTTGATTTTGGTCATGGGATCTAGCCCTGTGTCAGGCTCCATGCTCAGTGGGGAGTCTGCTTAAGATTTCCTCTCTCCTCTCCATCTCTCTCTGTCCCTTCCCCCAGCCAGCCTAGCTCGTGTACTCTCTCTCTCTCTCAAATATATAAATAAGTATTTTAAAAAAATAAAGTTAGACTGATTAGAGAGTAATAATTCCAAAATAAGGAAATGAAATAGAAAGAAATCTAGATCAGGTAGGAAAAATACAAAGCACTCCAAAAAGGAATATTTAAATCCAAATGTATCAATAAATACAATAATTATAAATGGATTATATGTTATAAGGATAGACAGAGACAGTCACACTAGATTTATAAATAATTTAATTACAGGTTATTTATAAGAGACACTACTAAATAATAAGAATACAAAAAATTGGAAACTAAGTAGGTGAAAAAAGATTTACCATGTAAATTCTAACCAAAATAAGTATGCAATAGTTACATCAATGTCAGGCAAAATAGGATTTTAGTCAAAAGACCTTACTGGAGACTGACTAAAATGGCACCTTTCATAAAAAGAAATCATTGAGTTCATAAGGAATTATCTAACATTTGTATTTTTATGCACCTAACAACATAGTCAGTATAAAGAAAATGGGCAGTATAATGAAAGGGACAGTACTACAGGAAGAAATAGATAAGTCCACAATCATTGTGAGAAGACTCAATACACATCTCTCCAAAATTGCTAGGACAAATAAAATTCAAGGAAATCAAGAAAGAGGAAACTTAAATAACACAATAAAAATTTGACTTAATAGGTATATGTAAGCTTATACTTGAATATATATCCATGAACAAAATTCTGCTCAAATCCAAAAAAATTTTAAATAATAATAATATTCTTAATTATCATATTCATTACTGAGTCTTTTCTTTCTAACAGTCCTAAGTGTCAGGCAAAAGATTTTCATCTGATAACTTATATATTTTCTGGGCTTCAGGAAGAAAGGCTCATAAAAGCACTAAATAGAGAACTGGATCTGTGGTGGAACTTCTAGATTAATAATATATGTTAATTATCCAATAATACATTATGTCATTTTTTAATGATATAAGCAAATCCTGTCTAAGTTGAAATTTAAACATCATATGAATACAGTTTTCACTTGTATGTATGTAAGCAGTCTTGTTGCCTTTTAGATATACAGAAGAATTAAAAATATTTAATTTAGAGATATAAACATTATTATATTTACATATTTAATATTATTCTTTAGTTTTCTTAGAGTATTCACACTTTAGAATAAAGTCTAATTTTTTGGATCAGATATGGCCAAGGAGAATATATATTAGGATAAAAAATACAGAGAGTGAAAAAGTGAAAGAAAATAGGAAGAACCAAGAAAATGGTGTAATTACTCCTAAAAATATAAATAACTAGATTATATATGATTGAGATCTAATAAAAAGACAAGGATAAAGTTGAATTTTAAAATATATATAATTATAACTTTCTTACAAGAGATACAGTAAAATCATAAAGATACAAGAAACAGGATAGAAAAAAATGTATGATACAAATGCCAACCAGAAGTTTGTGGAGCTACATTAATAGTACATAAAGTAGTTTTAAAGGAAAATAAACAAAAACTATAAGATGATAAAGTGGGTCTCTTCATTAAGACAAATGTTCTGTCCTCCACCAATATTACCAATCTTGTTTATATACCATAAATAATAGAATATCCTAAGATATAAATCATAACTTGCCACAACTACAAGAAAAAATTGAGAAATACCAGTGTGAGATTTAACACATCTAATTCAGTAATTATAAAACAGATGAATCATTGGTAAAGATCTAAAGTGTGGTGGAATAATTACCAAAGAGCACATGGTTGAAGATACAGTCTAAACCCAAAACAGTGTTCTCCTGAATTTAATTAAAAATAATTCATAAGATTTATATTTAATTACTTACTATCAAGATTCATGTTTCTGGTAGCTTCAAGTTTCTTAGTTTGAAACTGGTTTCTTGAAAATAAAACTTTCTCCTCAGGAAATAGATTTTTATGTGATATCTTATCATTTTTTTGCTTTTCAAGAGGAAATGCTAAGTAAAACAAAACAAAACAAAACAAATTCATAAATGTAATGGAACTTCTAGGTATGCCAAAAAATGATCAAATTCTCTTCTGATGCAGGTGAAGTGAAAAAAATCATGTGAACAATTTTCATTAGTCTGTGTGGGGAAGCTTTCTTCGTACTTAATAATTACTGACCATATAAATACCAGCCAAAAGGTATTAATTTTGCTTTTGTCTCTATCTTAGGATATTCACACTTTAAATCTGAGTGTAAAGTTTCTATAAAATATGTGTTCAAATACATATTCATGAACCAAAAGAAATCTTCTGATGAGGTTAATTTAAAATAATTTAAATTTTCCTATAATTAACTATACTTACTTTTGCGTCTCCCCTCCCTGGAAGTTATTTGTTTCTTTACTTGTACTTGGGATTTTGATGCTGACTCTGGATTTACAAACATAAGATTTTCATCTGTGGCACCAAAATAAGCTATATAAAGAGATATATTTAGTCTTCTAAATGGAAAAACAGATCTATTGTGAAATCTCTAGATTTCAAATTTATAACAAGTATATAGTAGCATTTTTCATTTTCATAAAATCATAAGCAAATTATTATAATGCTAGAACTGTTGTGAAAATGAAAACTGTTTGAAATTGTCTCATTATTTCATAAATATGCCTAAGCAACAAATATATTTTATATTGGTCGTCAGGTTTCATGGGTGATTTATTCTTTAGGCTGATACACAATAATAGAGCAAGCAATGAAAACTCATATGCACAAGTTTATTCATTACAGCCTTATTTGTAATTGCAAAATGCTTAAAGCCACCTAAATGTTAAAGCATAGGAGATTGGGTAAATAAATTGATATATATACCATACCACAACTACAGAATTGGTATAATATGAGTACTACTATACTGGTAGATAATGGTACATACATATAGGTATAAATGTGTATGTGTAAGACACAGTAAGATGTTCCTCACCCATCTGCACTGATCCATCTGATGCTAGCCTGATGTCATTTCATGGGAAAATGAAACACTGGTTGAAATATTGGTGGGGCTGATACCCTTTTATATCTACTTTTGCTTATATTAGCACAGCAGTGAATAAAAGCTTTCAACTTTCAACTGAATTAACCTACTCCATACCAAGCAGCTCCCTCTCAGTGACAAATGGTGACAAATCGTGTGGCCCAACTAAGTGTCTTACTTTTCTCAATGGAGCATATGTCAGAATGACACCACTGCAGGTCAGAAGTAACCATTGGTCATAATCTCCTGGAACCTATAATCTCCCAGAGTCAGCTGAAAGATACTTTGAGATACTATTGGGCAGTTATGGGGCCTTGGTGGATACTGAGTGGGTGTCCTATAGCTGTGAAATAATCTTATGACTAGAAATTCCAACCTGAAGGTATTACGGCTTTTGCTTTTATTTTCTAGTTATCTTTGCATATTCACACCTAGGGTCAGAGTGTAAAATTTCTATAATATATATGCTCAAATATGTATTCATGAACCAAAGGGAAAAGATCTTGATGGGTTTAAAATACTTTAAAGTTATCCATAATTATTATACTTACTATGGCATCTTTCTCTTCTGTAAGTTATTTGTTTCTCTACTTGCATTTGGGGTTTTGACACTGAATCTTGACTCACAAGCACTAGATTTTCATCTGGTACTCCAAAATGAGCTAAATAAAGAGATGCATTTAGTTAACTAAATGGAAAAACAGATCTGTGAAAACTCCAGATTTGAATTTATAACAAGTATACAGTAGCATTTTCTCTCACTTTTATAGCTATAAATTGTTCTAATGTGAGGTCTGACATGAAAATGGTAAGAAAAGTTTTTTTGTTGTTGCTGTTTTTTTAGAGAGAGAGAGTATGAAGGAGAGAAGGTCAAGGGGAGAGGGAGAGAAAGAGAATCCCAGGAAGATTCCATGCCCAACACTGAGCCTGACAAGGGACTTGATCTCACAACCCTGAGATCATGACCTGAGCCAAAATCAAGAGTTGGACACTTAACCTACTGAGCCACCCAGGTGCCCCAAAAAGAAAAGTTTTAATGGGTACTACTGAAACTCATTATTTCATAAATATTCTGAAGCATCAAATGTATTTCATAATAGTTATGAATAGTTAGGGGTTATTTACACATTAGCTTAATTCATAACAATAGACCAAACAATAAAAATGCATATGTACAAGGTTATTCATTACAGTATTATTTGTAATTGCAAAATATTTAAAACCATCCAAATGTTCAAGAATAGAATATTGGTTGGATAAACTAAGGTATATACCATAAACTATGGTAGAGTATAATCTATGGCATATAATGTAGTATAAACTGCTTTATGAATTTGTGTAAAAATAATAAATATTTCTATAAACTGACAAGAAGAGATTTCTAGGAGCTAATGTTTAAGTGAAAAAAACTCTTTAAAGAATAGTGTATCTAGTATGCTAACTTTTGGGTCAGAAAGAAGAAACCAGAAAAAAAGCAGAGAGAGAAATAGATATTAACTTTACAAAATGAAGCACAGGAAAAATAATATGAAAATAATATAGTGAGCTACTTATAAGACAGGGTGGAAGAGAGGACTTGGGAATGCAAGAGGAAGGACATATATCTTTTGTATAATATTTACTTTTGGAAGCAAGTTAATGCTCTACACATTACAAAAATAAAATTAAATAGACAAGGATAAGATGAAGCAACTAAAACTGAAAGCAAACTTAATGAAATGAAACTAGTGAAGGGATAAAAATAATAACACTAATCCAAAGAAGTCATCAATACAGCATTTGAAACATACCCTCAGTCTTGGGCAAGAATATATGGGGGCAGACTGCAAGAAAATTACTACATGTTTTTAATAGGTTTGTTTTTGTAGTGGTATGTGCTGAAGAGTTCCTTAACAAGGTTGAAGCATTGTAGGATTGAACAAATACATAAATCTGTTGATGTTTTAAGATTCAAGATTAACACTGGAAGAAAGAATATATACATATGATATGGAAGAAGGCAAGAATGAAACCTGAGGGACTAGAATTGAAGGTGTCCAAAAGCCCTCATGACCTCTAAAAAATGCATATGTGCAATATATGCATATATATGTTCATATGCAAGTGCATGTATGGATATGTGTACATGTGTGCATACACACACACTCATACATATATACATTAACATGTGTATAAAATTAAGGAGTGCAGATCCAAGTTAAAATCCTATGTGTAATCTTTCAGGTTCAACCCATAGAAAGTTACAAAGCTTTTACACGGCAGTTATCATGTGAGAAAGCTTCCTACCCCACACTAGACCTAAAGCACAGCCAATACACTGGTGTCTGGAAGGAAGTACAATCATGCACTCAGGCCTCTTCAGGCCAGCATTCCCTAGACCATCTTCTCCATTCATGGATCTTAAATGAGGCACTGTACTGTTGAGGTGACTCTGCTTTGACTACCTTACTGGGGAAGCTTTGAATATAATTTTCTCCTTTCTGACCCATCTTTCAGTACTTTCCATCTCCTAGCACTCTCCAAATCCCCCCAGATCCTGGGGCCATAAAATGGCAAGAGCCTTTTGTTTGGGGATCCTTCAGTAGTGAGGGACAATCTTCCTCTCCGTTTGTGAGAAAACATTGAGTACTCCCCTGGTTCTTTCAATGGGGAAAAATGGAACATGTTAAAGCTGGACCTTTCCCGTTTAGACTCTTGTTTACATACTATCACAGTAATTGAATAAAGGTTTAATTGTTACTTTCAGTTTGGCTTGTTATCTTAATTGGCCAACTCAATATCTGACAGTGCTTTCTCTGACAAATTGGTGAAATGAGCAGAGTGGTTAATAAAGCACATGACAAACACCCTCAATTTCCCACAGGCACTTTTGAGAGGTGTTAGAGAAGTCCATCAGACACTCTCCAGTGATGTTAGTGGATCATTTGCAAGAGTCTGAGAGTTCCATGGGCAATTAATCAGCTATGCCAATACATCTCAAAAAGTACTAGTGGAGTCTGGGGGAGCTTTGGGTAGTGCTAATGACTGTTTACATAAGCTTTTCAGGTATTAGGGCAATCATTGGATGCTCCCTTTTAGACTTTAACTCCCTGGTCAAATTCACGTGGTGGTCCAAAATACAGATCCAAAAGAGAGAGTCTAGGAAAGCTAGAGAAGCAATTCCCTAACTACTCATACAGTCCTCCAGTGATGACAACAAAATTCATCAGAGGCTCCTGAATGCTGAGTTGTACCCAGTTACTACTGTTAGCTGTAAATATGTTCCTGGCACCAAAAGACAGCCTAAAACACAGCAAATTTTTAAGATTCATGCCTAAAATAAAAAAGAATGAAGAGAACTTTGGGATTATTTCACCCAGCAATCTGAAGCTCTTAGAGACTTGGATAGTTTGCCTCCTTGATGAAGAAGATAATCTTGTTAAACTCAGTAAGAATGCCACCTCTGGGGTGTGTCATTAAAGATCCCCACTTCCAGAGTACAATAACAGCAGCCACTTTGCCTAAGGAAGAGGAGGAAGTTGGTACTGGGATGAAAGAATGCAGGCACTCAACATCATCTATATCTCATCTGGATAGTATATGGACTCAGCGCTTTGGCTCACACATGATGAATTCTTTAGCACTGAATAACATGGTTGAATCATCCTTTCAGTGGATATAGTTTTCTGTGAGCCATGCTAGTGGTCTTTTAGATGAACAAATGAGGTGTGAAAACAATACATGATGAGATTGTTAATAAGACTATTTCTAGGTTTGTTCATACAATTATTTTGTTGTTCATGCAATTCTTATTGGTTATTGAACTCAGTTAAATCTTTAAGGCTCCTCATAAGGCCATGTTGATCAGTTTGAGACTTAATTTAGATCTTTACTGACAATCACTGAGTTTGGAAAACACAGCTGCTGCCCAGATAGCAAAGACTGACCAGCAGAAAGAGTAATATAAAAATGGTGAGCCTGTGCACTCTTCTAGATCATTTAGGCTAGGGACTCCTGAAGAAATCTCTGGGTCTGGTTACTCAACAGTAGGTTCCCAAAAAGGAGACTGATGGGCTCTCCTACCAAGGAACTCATGGTCATGGACCATGGTGTCCAGTAGGCTGTTCAATTAGGGTCTTCAAGGTGATGACCCCTTATGATTAATATGAATTCTATTCTTTCTGCTCCTTCCAAAGAATCTGGGAGTGAATTATTGAGCCCTGACAACTTTTAAACAGATGTCTGACCTTTCAGAAATAAGCAAATCTAGGGATTGGGCCAAGGTTCCAGAGTTCTGAGTGGAAAATAGTAGTGGTCCTACACCAAGTTCAGAGTTCAATTTCTTAGGTCTTCTGGATATTGGTGCATAGTTAGCTGTGATCTCCACAATCCTTGACACTATAATGAGGGGGTGTGTGGTTGAACCATGCCCCTCTCCTGCCAAATTTATAGAATTCCTATTCCCCCTTACTTCAGAATGGGTCTTCATTTGGAAATAGGACCTTTACAGAGGTAATCAAGTTAAAATGAGGTCATTATACTGGGCCTTAATCTGATATGAACAGTATCCTTATTAAAACAAGAAACTTGAGGGGCACCTGGATGGCTCAGTCATTAAGTGTCTGCCTTCGGCTCAGATCATGATCCCAGGGTCCTGGGATCGAGCCCCGCATTGGGCTCCCTGTTCAGCTGGAAGCCTGTTTCTCCCTCTCCTACTCTCCCTACTTGTGTTCCTTCTCTCACTTTGTCTCTGTCAAATAAATAAAATTTTAAAAGAAAAACAAGAAACTTGAGCACACAGACAGATACATTCATGGGTAGAACACCATATGAAGACGAAGGCACAGATCAGGGTGATGCATCTATAAGCCAAGAAATGTCAAATATTGCCAGAATACCACCCAAAGGTAGGACAGAGGCACACAACAGATTTTCACTCAAGGTCTCAGAAAAAACCACTTCCACCAATATCTGATCCCAGACTTCAAGCTTGCTGATGGTATGACAATAACTTTTTGTTCTTTAAGCCACTCAATTTGCAGTACTTTGTTCTTTCAGTTTAAGCAAACTAACACAGATTTTTGGGACCAGGAAGCGGGCTACTGCTGTAACAAGTACAAAAAAAAATGTTGAAATGACTTTGGAATTGGGTAATGGGTAGGAAATTATAAAAGTTTTGAAGAGCATGATTAGGAAAAAAAAACTATATTACTTTGAAAAGATTGCTAGTGGGAAAATGGACATTAAAGGTGATTCTGATGAGGACTCAGAAAAGGGGACAGCTGTGGAGAAATTTTTTATTATCTTAGAGAATACATCATCATGAACAGAATATGGCTAGAAATATGAAGATAAAAGGGCTTCTCATAACATTAAAAGGATTATATACCATAGTCAAGTGGGAGATGGGCTAGATGGGTGATGGGTATTAAAAAGGGCACTTATAATGAGCACAGGGTGATGTATGTAAGTGATGAATCACTGAATTCTACTTTAGCAACTAATATTGCACTGATGTTAACTAAAATTTAAACTGTAAAAAAGAAAGGGATTATATACATATTCAAGTGGGATTTATTCTAGGGATTCAAGGACCAATCAACATCTGCAGATCAATCAATGTGATACACCACATTAACAAAATGAAGGATAAAAATCATTTAATTACCCCAATAGACACAGA